ATCACATTTTAATCCATGATCCAGATAAAAAGGACCAAATTTGATTAAATTTTGAAATTATAGGACTAATTTTGAAAGTAGTCAATATAGGATGATTTTTTAGACTATGGCCAAATTATAGGACAAATTTTGAAATTATGCCGTTAAATGTACCAAACATACATTCAAATCAATTTCAGGAACAATTTAAAATTCGCTTATAAGTTATCAGCTAGTATATTAGTTAAATGTACAAAAACATATATTCAAATCAATTTCATGGACTTAGCTAGTTCTTTTTTTTTTAAATAAATTTATGGTATGATGGGTGATTCATATACCACATAATTTGTTTACTTCATCAACTTCAATGTTCAAAGCAACTTTTACTTTAAAGTTTAAACAAATGTTTTATCCCAAACTTTTACCTGCAAGATTCATGATTGTACCTCAAGCCATGTAAATATTTATTTACAGCTTTATGTATGATCCCAGCTTTTTTTTATTTGTTTACTATGTGTTTGTATATTTTAGTGATAAAAATGAACAATGGCTTGAGCTAGCAACTGACAATGCCAACTCTTTGCAGTTTCCATATATCTCATTCATTTACTATGATTTCTTTTAATGTTTAATCATTGTCCTTCTTAGCTGCTATCTAGGAAATATATAGATGTTTTAACATTTTCTTTCTTTATTTTTTATTTTTTTATTTTTTTTTTCGAAACGATAGATTTTTTTAATGATTTTGGTTTGGTCAATTAACCGAATTAGTTAGAAACATATGGCCCAAATAATTGCCCATGTAAATAATAGGCTTAATAGCCCGCTAGAAAAGTCACAAGATTTTTTTTATTTTTTTATTTTATTATTATTATCATTATTATTATTATTTTTTTTTTTGTATTATTTTTTTAAGTAATGGTAAGGGTATACGTGAAATTAAAATCAAGTTATCTCATTCTCAAACTTCCCAAGTCCCAACTAACTAATAGTTGATGGTTGGATAATTATCTAAAGATTTTTCACAATCGATAAACAAACTAAATTATGATACACGTAATAGTGTCGTAAATTTGATAATAGTGTCGTAAATTTGATGTGTGTATATATTGAAAGAGGTTGACGAAAAAAATCATTTGTAAAAAATTAAAAAAATGAGTCAAAATCTTTGACTTACCTTATGGAATATCAGTTCAAAATTCAGAAATTGAACATAATTTGTTACCTAATCTATATGATACATCCACATAAATGAGATTTATCATAACAGTATTGTTTCCCATTAAATATTTCGTAATTTATTTTCCATTTTGGACCATCAATATTGCCGTGTATAACCATGATTAAAATTACCTTACGAAAATAAAAGAAATCGAATTTACATTTAATAACACACAACAAATCAGCTGAAAATATGTTCCCATTATGTAGAATACATTCACCTACAAAANNNAAAAAAAAAAAAAAAAAAAGCTGAAAAAAATTCATATTCTACTTCACACAACCAATTATTTTACTATTCAAATTTAGTTTTATTTAATTTTTTATA